TCTTGGATTCCAAAGCCAAAAACAGGAATGACTCGTGTATATTGTTTTACGTTTATGTACAACTTGTTTGGATAAATGTAAACAACTTCTTGTTGTTCCAAGAAATGGTTCATTTTTCGGACTATGAGTCTGTGAGGCTCATCGCGATAGGGTTCGTTATAAAAACAAGTTCACGGATTATTGTTAAAGAGCGATAATAACAACGAAGATTATTATTATTTTTTTTTTATGAGAGAGTAAGAGTTTTTTATTCCCCAATGCTTCAATGCCAGAAAGCTTTCTGGCAAGAACCTGCTTAGCATTAAGTACATATTCTATATTGGACTCTATTTTGTCGCCCCATGTCTCATTTCATCGTCTCACTAGAGATTATTTTTCATTTTCATTCAACTCATTGCGCTCTTTTTGTTCATTTTTTGTTAACGCTCCTCGGTGATCGAAACTCCTTCAAATTACGTAACTTAAAACTATTGATGGGAAAATTATTTTCGTTAGATTTGTGTTTTTAGTTGCAGTCAACTTTCAATGTTAAGATTTTCCTTTAATAGGAGCTTACGTAAAATTGCAAAACTTTTTCTTTCATATTCTTCGTTCACATTGATTTTAAAATTATTTTCGAGTGTATGCTATTATATGCACACATATATACACATACATATATGTATATCGTTACAGGCATATGAATGGTGTGGCTCCAATAATGATAACTAATCTATGTGCGTTGCGTTGTGAATTTTTTTTTTTTTGAGAATGTCTTTTTATGCTTCTTATTATATGGTCAACAGATTTCGTCTGTCTGTCCTCTGGTCGTTCATTTATTTATTCATTTGTCGATCCCTCTCTGCATTGAAAACTGATGAATATGGCATTTGGCTTTGACTTTGACGCATGACTTTGGCCACTCTCGACGACATTACATCACGAAAAACAACGCAACAAAACACGGCACTATATCAGACATCACCGGCAAAGAGACACTGATGCAACGTACAATTGCAGCATAAATTGTCGTCCAAAGAATAAAAAAAAATAAAAAAAAATAAAAAATGAAAAAAAAAAATGAGAAAAAAAAAAAAAAATGAAAAAGAAAAATGTCATAAATAAATTGCTAAAACAGTGGTAGTCACATCATATGCAATTGTTTACACAAACATTGCATTAGCAATAGTTTGTAATTGCTTAAGTATGTATATATATGTATGTAAACGTTTGTGTATATATATATATATATATATATATATATATATGTGTGTGTGTGTGTGTGTCCGTTTATGTATTCGTTTATAGTATTTGCAACATTTTTAGCCGCTAAATAAAATGCCATAAATGATCGACTTGATTTTAGTTTGTGGCCCCATACAAATGTATTCTTCTCAGCAGATCTTTCCAATGGCTGTTTGTCTATCTGTCTGTCCACTTTCCACACACACACACAGACACACTTTGTTTTAATATGTTTTCGTCTACATAGAATGGTGACATGTACAAAAAAATGTGCATTTGAGAATTTCAAATGCTTTTCTCGGTAAATTAACTAAAAATGCTGAAAACGCTCCGTTTTTTCTACCATCTCTACAACTTTTTTTTTTTTTTTTTTTTGCTTTTCGCTTATGTTTTCTTCAACTTACTGTTTTTGTTGCAAGTGTTTGTTTGTCCACTGGTGTCGAATGGTGTCGATAAACTCTTAGCCATTGTTATTATTCTTGCTATTGGCCATTGCCGTGCTACGTTCTTCGCCTATGTGACAACTATTTGTCTGTAAATCAACAACTGGAACAGAGACAAAACAACACAAAAAAAAAAAAAAAAAAAAAAAAAA